ACAGAGGTGCTAATATTTTCACTAGCCTGAATGCATCTAACCATCCTTTTGTACTGGTCTTGAAGTTTTTCCCAGTAAAAGGAAATAACTAGGTAAGAAGGATTCAGTGAGAACAGTATTTCATTACAGTTTTGTGCACTTTAATTTTGGTCAGAAAAGTAGCTTATGCCAGTATGTAGGCCGAGTATGGACAAAAGTCCGGTATTAGGACAGTTAGCATTCCTCTCCACAGAGAGTTAGCAATGTTTTTTTGATGGGTGGGGCATGATATGGTCTTTTGAACAGTTTGCATTTCTAACAGCTTATATTGAAATAATATGAAGGTATACTACCAACAAAGATCAGAATTAAGGTCAGCATCTCTGAAGAGTAATAGTGAATGTCACACATACAGCTTCAATTAATCTATCCCTAATTTAACAATAAAAATAATGTAATATATAATAAATAGTATTATATATTAATATATTATTATTTAAAAAAAAAAAAACACACACACACAAAAAAACTACCCCACAATAACAAACAAACAAAAAAAACTACCCCACAACAACAAACAAACAAAAAAATAAACAAGGACTCTATAGAAGTCTAGTTACAGGAATACTGTTTTTCTTGTGTCCTGTATTCCCTGAGTTGTCTTAGCCTCTAACCTACCTTGTCAGCAGAGAAACTAATTTTCACTAAGTCCCAAGCCGGATTTACACTGCATGGACAGCCAAGTATTGTGCTGGAGTTACTTGTCTCTTTCCGTGAACTGAAGCAGAGACATCAGAATGCAAAAGCTGGATCTGGTTTATTATTCATATTTGTGACATTTAAATGACTGTCTAATGAGTATTGGGAATACACAGATACCTGCTGGTAGCATTTAAGGGATAGGAAGTGATTATATTAACACCAATGATACCTGTATTCTTGCAAGAGTATTAGCAAGGTCTTTTTTGCCAAATGAAGTGGTCCACAACTGCAATTACTTGTATAGGCTCACCAGTGAAGTTGTTAATTGCTTCCTGCAATATTATGAGTTTTTCATATACTTTCTCCTCCAAATGTCTTCCCAATGCAATCAACAGTTTAATCAAATTATCAGTTTAATAAGGACTGTTACAGCTCCAGTTTGTGGGGCATAAGAAAGGAACTCCATTCAGTAACATCTTATTTCAGTATAGAAAGAAGAAAAATCCCATAAAGTATTATTGCTGCACATCTGTAAAAAGTATTCATCATCTGAAAAACTACTTTCAGAGAACTTATGAAATACTGAATAAAACTAGCAGTATGTGCTTATGTTTATTTTATTTGTGTGTCTTAGATTAAACTTTTCCTTAGGAAGTATCTCACAACTTCATTGATAAAATTTTTACTTCAATTATCTTTTAAGTTCAGTTTTGACAATTTGATATTGGAATACTCTCATGTATACAGAGTAAGTGATAGCCTCTCCTATCTCTATGTGTATTATGCAGATTTTAGGCTAACCAGGCAACACTACAAGTATATCAAAGGAAAAATACTGTTGTTTCTTTGCATTTACAGGATCACTGCACATCTCTTATTCTTTTCCCAACTTAGACTTATTAAGTAAAATGTATATATATTGAATATGAAACCCGTGAACTTTAACCTACAAAGTACTGCTATCTGTTTTATTCAGGTTACTGCAGCTCTCTTCGATCAACTTTCATCAGCTTGGCTACAAGAGGACAAAAGGATAAGAAGTTCAGTTCCTGTTTCTGTTGTTGTGTACAACATAGCAGTAAAAACAACAGACCCTTCACAGTTAAACAAGGGGAAGCCATGCAGCAGTCTGTGGAATCAGCATTAAGTAATTCAGGACGTATGGGAATGGCATTAACAGACCCGTCTGCTTGCAGCTGGTCAAAGTATTCAACTGAGATTTGTGAACACAGATGAAAACTACTTTATGGAGGACCATGTAAGAAGAAGGAAGGGTCCATAGTGAAAGGCTGCAGCTGAGGAATGCGTGTCTTAATACAGAGCCTTTGGGCACACTTCAGGCTGACATCTTCCTTGGCAGCTTTGCAGTAGGTAGAGCCGTGGTGTGCCCACTGCTTAGTTCAGATATGGCCCATAAGTGGACTGCAGCTCATCTGCTGTCTCTAGTGCTTGGGTCAAGAAACAGTAGAGAAGTACCCATGCTGTTCTGTGAATATGTGAAGAAGGGGTAGGAGAGGAATATAAAAGTCTCACAGGCTTGAACAAGGCTCACACCATATAGAAAACTAGACAGGACACAGTTGGGACAAACCACATGTCATGCAGATTTTCTGGTCTTCTCCCACCTTCCCCAAGAAGGAAAACATCAAAGCTGCAGAATTACTACAGCCCTACAAAATACAGCTGTGTATAGCATGTTATGTATGAATCATGGTTTGCATTTAAAAGTTACTTGTTTAAGACCACATACTAATTTACAAACAGGTCTTTTAATTATTGCAAAAGAAAGCTGTAACTGAACAGACAGAATAAGGCAGTCCTCAGTAAGTCACTACAAAACATTGATTCTGTGTAAAATAATAGGCAAAATGACAATTTTGACTGCACCAGATGAAGACAAAGACACTTTTTGTTGAACAGAATGCCCTATTTCAGTAACATAATACAGGGCCAGAGGACTGTAATCAAAAGTACAAGCTCTAATTGGAGGCAAATTAATAGTGTTGGAACCCAGGGTCAGTACTAGAGACAATACTGCTTAAAATCTTCACCAAGGACATGGACAATAAGGGAAGTGCACTACCAGCAAGTTCACAGATAATGTAAAATATGGAGTACCCTAAATTAGAGTTACACATATCTTATCATTAAAGAACACAATATAAGTGCCATATCTGGATTCCTCCCTTCATCTGGCTGCTTTAGGCATCTATCTGATAGTACCCAAGAGGTCAGGAACTCTCTCTTAGGAATGCTGCATGTCTATTTCTAAGACCTAGTGTACAGGCAAATGTTCTATTGTCTTAAAAATAACCAGTATGAGGCTTTTGGTTTATGATGAGCTTGAGATACAGAGTCCACTACAAAACTGCTTTATTTCACTGGCATTTGTTGAAGACTCATGTGGAGTTTGAGTTTATACAGATCAGAAAGTCCAGGAACACATGCCACCTCATACACAGTGGACCTAATCCTTCCACCCCCTACAAAATGTCAACTAAAAATATATTACAATATGCTGCTCCTGTAAAATATCAATTAAAAGTTTATAACTAAATTATGAAAAATAGCAAGGCAATATTTTAGGAAAAATACAACAAACTTCTACTGCCAATGGTCCATATTGGTCTACTCTAGCTATGTAAGCACTGCATGGTTTCAGTTACTGATCAGCCTTGCTCTGCTACTTCGACTTAAAGTTTTACCTGAAATGGGACAAATTCAGTAGCCCAAATTTATGAAATTTATGAATTCTACAGGAATCTGCATTTCACAGATCAGTTAGGACAGCTCTCACATCTGATTTTAATTTCTCGTAATCCCATGAGTTTTTAGTCAAGTTGTTGGCTAAACATCAAAGAAAAAACGCTACTTTTTTTACCTTTTAAAAGGATGCTTCTACAGTACATCTAATGACTTCCTCTGATGAGTACTTTTAAAAATGTTTCTTTTTACCAATTCCTAAAACAGGGAGGGAAAAAAATCCACTGGTTGCAATGTAGACAAAAAAGGCAGTGTCAGTGAGGAGGCACTATTTCTTCAGAACATAAAATGGAGATGTTCAAAGCTCAAATACATCTGAAGTCCTGCTATAAAAAGTTTGTAAAATATAGACATTTCCCAAAGAATAGCAGCAGGATCCCTACAACCTCTTAGATTTCACATATGACTTATTTATAACCTATCCAAACAACAAAGGCCTGATTTACTTCTCCAAAACAGGTTAATGTTGATGGATATCAGGCAAGGTTTCTCCACCATATCTAATATATGAAGAATATCTGGTGTGTAGCAATGTTAAATGTCTGGACTGATGTAGTGCCCCATGGGCAGATGATGAGCCAAATAATACACACAAAACATGAGATAATTGTTAAAAGTTTATTATAAATTTTGGAAGAATGTCTGAGTTTGTGATGGCTGTTCTCTTTGGTTAGAATTCCAAAAATTTACCGTCCTTTTCAGCATTTAATAGCCTTGTAGAATCAGTAATAGAGTAGAAGAAAATGTATTTGGATTCCAACTTTTCTCCTGCTTAAATTCCTCCAGGGAACAAATAATGCTGAGCTTCTCAAGTCAATACAGTTACAAGTGTGAGGCTGTAGGATGGAGATTAAGTCCCCAAATGGCTGAATGTAAGGCTTTACCCTTGAGAGTGATGAAGGAAGTGCAGTTGGTTACCTGAGAGATGCACTTGAGTGGAACTGTAAAAGAGGGTCTAAAGTGCAACTCTCCCCACAGCCATTAAATTTGACTTTTGAGGAAGCTACAAATTCAAGCAAATATTATGGTTATCTTTCATGAGAGAAAAAACATGTTATGTAAATACGTAGGAAAATTAGGCACCCACTTCCCCTCAGGTAGCTTCCTCATCAACGTTGCAGTCAGTGTGTACAGCAAACATAACACAAGAGTTTAATTATCTCACACATTTCATGCATGCAGGGAAGTGGACATTCTTAGGCCATTGTAAGGACATTCTTACAAAACAGAAGCAAAACTCAGGAAAACTCACCTGGAAAGCATTAGAAAGAATTTGTGCTGATCACAGTACTAC